CAGTGGACCACCAGAGAAGTCCCTCTTCCATTATGTTTATTCATATTATATATAGAATTTTAAAATGGGATCTTAATGTTTATGATTCTGTAACTTTCTATTCTAATTTTAAATATCTTTCATTTTTCTAAGTCAATCTCCTTTTAAACATCTGCACAGGTTAAATGAATCTGTGCAGATTTGTTCACTTTGCTATTGATGGGACATGTAGGCAGTTTCCAATATTCAGTAAGTATAAAAATGCTGCAGTAAATATCCTGGTGTATTTATTTTTCTGCACTCGTGCTATAATTTCTATATGCTTAATGCCTCAAGGTGTATTTCTTTTTATCATGGTGTGTGTGTGTTGGGGGGTTCATTTGGCCCAGTGAGAGAGAGAGAGCTTCTGCAGCCAGGCTTTCTGGATTCAAAATCCACCTTTGTTGTTTACCAGCTGTGTGATCTTACAGATTACTTAACTTTTATAGGCCTTCATTTCCCCATCTGTAAAATGGAGAAAATAACATTATCTCCCTTGTAGGGTTGTGAGGAGGATTAAATGAGTTAGTAATTACAAAGCACTTAAAAGGGTGCCTACACATAGTAAGCTCTGTATAAGTGTTTGTAAGTTAATTTTAAAAATATCTGTTCCTTTCATTATCCCCTATAATGTTACCTCTTTAATTTATTATATAACAAAAACATAAGAATAAACTTACTTGAACTATATTGAGTTTTAAAAAGCTTAAGTAAATAACTATAGCGCTCTCTCCATAGATAAAATGTTAAATGATGCTGTAACTTAAAATTAAGAAACATTTCCATAAGATTATCTCAAAATGTCAGTATTGCTTCCTTTATCCTCTTGGACCTCCCATATATTTTTAAAAAATCATTTTTTCAAATACACACAAAACTACAGACACTAGTATAATGAACCCCCATGTACTTATTACCCAGATTCAATAGTTATCCCCAGTGCATGGACAATTATGTTTCATCTGTACTCTACCCACTATCCCCTCAAACTATTTTGTAGCAAATCCTAGTCATCATATCATTTTATCTGTAAATATTTTAGTATGCTTCTCTAAGCAATAAGGACCCTTTTTTTTTTTTTGGTAATATAACCATTATATCATTATCACACATTAAAAACAATTAACAATAATCCCTTAATAGCAAATATATAGGAGAAACTTCAAATTTATACAATTATATGTTTTTCCCCAATACACTTTTTAAAATATCTAATAAGAAAATATAATTCATTTTTTATTTATTTATTTTATTATTTATTTTTTTCCTTTTTTTTTTGGGTACGCGGGCCTCTCACTGTTGTGGCCTCTCCCGTCGCGGAGCACAGGCTCCGGACGCGCAGGCTCAGCGGCCATGGCTCACGGGCTCAGCCGCTCTGCGGCACATGGGATCCTCCCGGACCAGGGCACAAACCTGCGTCCCCTGCATCGGCAGGCGGACTCCCAACCACTGCGCCACCAGGGAAGCCCCCTATAATTCTTTTTTAAAAAATTAATTAATTTTTTTTGGCTGTTTTGTGTATTCGTTGCTGTGTGTGGGCTTTCTCTAGTTGTGGTGAGCGGGGGCTACTCTTCGTTGCACTGCACGGGCTTCTTATTGCAGTGGCTTCTCTTGTTGCAGAGCATGAGCTCTAGGAACGTGGGTTTCAGTAGTTGTGGCGCACAGGCTCAGCAGTTGTGGTATGTGGGCTCTAGAGTACAGGCTCAGTAGTTGTGGCTCAAGCGCTTAATCACTCTGAGGCATATGGGATCTTCCTGGACTAGGGATCGAACCCATGTTCCATGCAGTGGCAGGAGGATTCTTAACCACTGCGCCACCAGGGAAGTCCCAGAAAATAGACTTCTTTACAGAACTTAGGTTCTTGAAAGTCTTCTATTGAATGAATTTTCATAAATCAGATCGTACTTTTCCTTTAACTAAGTTATAAAGTACTTATTACGCACCTGAGCATGCTAATGAAGAGTAACAACCTTTTTTTTTTAGCCTTGGAGAAAGAACAACTAACTAGGAACATAACACACAACTTTTACAACTATTATTTTCTGTCTTCATTACCAAGGGACATATGATGGATAGAGTGAATCTTGTAAAAAATTGTCAAAATTTTAGAATATATTTATAAATATATCATTTTTGAAATCTTTAGAAAAGAAGAATGATTCCTAGAAGACAGCAATACTAAGAATTAGTCATCTCAAGCTAAACTTACTATCTTATTTTTTTAACTTTCAATTTTGAAACAAATTGAAAAAATTTAAAAAAAAATTTTTGCAAAAAAATAATTGCAAAAAAAAAATAAAAAGACTTCCTATATATATCCTTTACCCAACTTCCCCAAATGTTATTATTGGGATGTCATAGTTGAAATAAGTGGATTTCAAGAAGGCAGTTGACAACATTTCCTTTAAAATCTTGGATACAAATATGTTCATTCTGTACTACAAGACTCAATTTTGGTTTTCATTTTCTTAGTATTGTCACTTTTTTAAAAAAAAGTATGTTAAAATTCTTATTGCTAAGAAGGATGTAAGTGGGTCAGGTGATAAATACTGTTAGGTAAAGTCATAGTTACCTGAACAACTACATCAAGAGAATGTTACTTAATGCATAAAAAACTGCTTGGTGAAAGGTTTGTGACACACCAGTGCCTTTGTTTGGCCAAGTTCTGTCGCACCTTTATCTAATCAACTACTAACAAAGAATTTGGAAGGATGGCTGATACATTTCATTACCCAAATGGGATTCAAAGAGATTGCCACAGGATGCAGCACTGATGCAGAATCAACAAGGCGAAATTTAATAAGTCTAAACATTAAAGACAAAAATATTAACCGCTAAATTAAAAGACTGAAGAAAAGCTGGCTTGGCAGTTCAGGTAGCAAGAAGTAAGGGCTTTAGTTTACTGCAGACTCTGTATGAGCCAAAAGAGTGATGTGACTACCACCCTCCCAACCCAATTCAACAGAAGACTACTCCTCTGTCCTGGTCTGACCACCTTTAAAGCACAGTTTTAGACTTAGGAATAAGTTAAAGAATTTCAGGAGAAACTGGACCATGACCAAGGAGGGTAAAGCTGTTGAAGGAACTAGGCTTACTTTGCCTGGAGAAAAAAGGATGTGGAATCATGACTGCTGTCTTTAATTGTGGTGACCTGTCCCATGGAAGAGGGAGCAAACCTAGCATGCCATATTAGAGAGCACAACTAATAATGTAATTAATATTAATAGCTGGCACTTTTGAGTGGTAGGCATTTACATGCATTATCTTGTTTATATATTTATTCTATGAGGGGTTAGTTTCTATTATTATCTTAGGCTTAGAGATTAGGAAAACAAAACTCAGAGAGGCCAAGGCAACATAGTACATCAAAGTAGCTAATGTCCATAATAAATTAATACTTGTAATATATTTAGAAGAGTGTTAGGACATGATAAGCGCCTAAGAAAATCTAGCAGCAATAATAATAATGATAGTGTCATAATTATATTTAAATATTATTATTATTGTATTGACTTAGGTCAGTGGTTCTCAGCCTTGGCTACACATTAGAATGACTTTAAAAAATACTGATGTCTGAGGACTTCCTTGGTGGTCCAGTGGATAAGACTCCGTGCTCCCAATGCAGGGGGCCTGGGTTTGATTCCTGGTGAGGGAACTAGATCCTGCATACATGCCGTAACTAATATGTCTGCATGCTGCAACAAAGATCCCACAAGCCGCAACTAAGACCCAGTGCAGCCAAAATAAATAAATAAATAAATATTTTTAAAAAAATACTGATGTCCGGATCCTACCTTCAGAGACCCTGACTAAAGGGGTCTGAGATATGACCTGATCGTCTGACATTTTAAAAGTTCCCCAGGTGAAGAAAACTTTCACAAAGACACATCTGATAAAGACTACTATCAGAATATACAAAGAACACTTACAGTTCAACAAGAAAATGAACAATATGCTTAAAAAATGGGCAACAGATCTGAACAGACACCTCATCAAAGAAGATATACAGGTAGCAAATAAGTATATGAAAAGATGCTCCACATCACATGCCATTAGGGAATTGAAAATTAAAACAATAATATGATACCACTACACACCTATTAGAATGGGCAAAATCCAAAACACTGACAATAGCAAATGCTGACGAGAATGTTGGGCAACAGGAACTCTCATTCACTGCTTATGGAAATCAAAATGCGGGGGAATTCCCTGGAGGTCCAGTGGTTAGGACTTGGCGCTCTTGATCCCTGGTCAGGGAACTAAGATCCCACAAGCTATGCAGCTCAGCAAAAAAAAAAAGAAAGAAATGCAAAATGGTATAGCTACTTTGGAAGACAGTTTGGCAGTTTCTTACAAAAGTAAACACATTCTTGGGCTTCCCTGGTGGCGCAGTGGTTGAGAGTCCGCCTGCCGATGCAGGGGACATGGGTTCATGCCCCAGTCTGGGAAGATCCCACATGCCGCGGAGCAGCTAGTCCCGTGAGCCATGGCCGCTGAGCCTGCGCGTCCGGAGCCTGTGCTCCGCAATGGGAGAGGCCACAACAGTGAGGGGCCCGCGTACCGAAAAATAAATAAATACATAAATAAAATAAAAAGTAAACATATTCTTGTGGGAGGGAGGGAGAATTAGATGAAGGTAGTCAAAAGGTACAAACTTCCAGTTACAAGAAAAATATGTACTAGGGATGTCATTTATGACATGATAACAATAATTAACACTGCTGAACGTTACAAATGAAAGTTGTTAACAGAGTAAATCCTAAAAGTTCTCATCACAAGGAAAAAATAATTTTTTAATCTATTTCTTTAATGTGGTATCTATATGAGATGATGGATGATCACTAAACCTACTGTGATAATCATTTCATGACATATGTGAGTCAAATAATTATGTTGTATACATCTTAAGCTTATACAGTGTGGTATGTCAATTATATCTCAGTAAAACTGGAAGGAAAAAAAACAAACCAACATATTCTTACCATACAATCCAGAAATTACGGTCCTTAGAATTCATCCAAATGAGTTGAAAACTTATGTCCATGTAAAAATTTGCACCTGGATGTTTACAGAAGCTTATTTTTATTGCCAAAACTTGGAAGCATCCAAGATGTCCTTCAGTAGGTAGATGGATAAACTTTGGTACATCCGGACAACAGAATATTATTCAGCCCTAAAAAGAAATGAGCTATTAAGCCATGAAAAGACATGAAAGAACATTAAATGCATATTACTAAGTGAAAGAAACCGACATGAAAAGGCTATATACTATATGATTTCAACTATATAACATTCTGGATAAGGTAAAATAACAGACAAGGTAAAAAGATTAGTGGTTGCTAGGAGCTAGGGGTGAATGGGATGAATACATAGAGCACAGGTGATTTTTAGGCCTATGAAACTATTCTATAATGATGGATATGTGTGATGATATATTTGTCAAAATCCATAGACTATACAACACCAAAAGTGAACTCTAATGTGAACTATGGACTTTGAGTGATAATGATGTGTCAACCTAGGTTCGTTAATTGTAACAAATGTACTATCCTGTGGGGGATTTTGACAGTTGTGCATGTATAGGGGCAGGAGGTGTATGGGAATTCTCTGTATTTTCGGCTCAACTTTACTGCGAACCTAAACTGCTCTAAAAAAATAGTCTATTAAAAAAAAAAGTGCCCCAAGTGACTCTAATGTGCAGCTAAGGTTGAAAATTACTGGTCTAGGTTCTTTGCACACGCAATCTCCTTCAACTCTTCTAATGTTCATCTAATTATGTAGCTGTTGTCATCCTTTTTTACATATGAGGAAACTGAGGTTTGGAGGGATCAAATAATTTATCCAAGTTCACCCAGGTAGTAAAATGGGAACAGGGTTTCAGATATTGGTCGGCCAGCTTCTACCACACCACTTTTTAATAATTGGAGCTAATAGATCAGGGTAAAATGCATTGCCTCATGAAATAATCATTTCCCAACACTGGAAATATCATAGAAAAGGCTGGATAACAAGTCAGGGATGGCACAGACAAATTACTACATTTTTTTTTTCAGTAAGAGGGAAGACAGAGTAGGTTATCTTTAACATTCCTTCAGACTCTTAAGGGCCCGAAGAGTTGAAGGCCTGAGTTTCAGAATGAGACCGGTCCCTGAGGAGCTATGAAACCCTCAGCAAGTCACCTAACTTCTCTGAGCTTTTCCTCTTATATAAAGATAATACCAAAAAAAAATAATAATAATAATACCTACGCTGTTAGATCATTTTTATATATATAATAAAATTATATATGAGGATTAAATAATAATATATGTAAAAGTCTCTTGCTAACTGTAAAGCTTCATAGAAATCAATTTTAACTTTAAGGTGTTTAATCATCCTAAAACCTGGTTTGCATTACAGCACTCCTTTGTTTAAAATGTCCAAAAGCTCCCCATCACCCAAAGAACAACACTGTTCACCCAATGTTCAGACTCCTTAGCACAAGACCCTTAGCTAATTGATTCCAATTAACCTCAATGTTCTCTTCCAGCCACTACCTCCACCCTAGGTTCCAGCCAAATTAATTTCCTACTCTTCCAAAATGACTGATTACATTCTTTCATATTCAGAGCCTCTCAGAAATTGAGGAAAGCCACAGACATCCCCATTTCCAGTTAAAAGTTCAAGAAATGCCCAGACATTTTTTGTAGTGTATTTGAAATGTTTACAGCTAACAATGCTTTCGATACATAAAAAACTTAGTGTCATATAATTGTGTTATTCATAAGATTTATTTTAAAAATTACTTCATTGTAACGCCAATCAGTGGGATAAGAGTTTAAATTTGAATGAACATCTTCCTTTTTGATCTTGTTGAACGGTTCCAGCTGTGTATATACTGAAGATCCTTCATGAAAGTGGGGCCTATACCAAAAGGCAGCCTGTTCCCTCTCCTCCCCCAAGAGGAGTCCTCTCCACATCGCTATGCCTCTCCACGTGGTCTTCGTAATGTTTGGCCAGCTCCAAACATGGTTCACACATTATTTTTGAAGCCTTCCAAGATATCATTACCTCCTTGATGGTCCCAGTGTACCTGACAATATTATGTAATAAGTATGATCATGGAGCCAGACACAGTGGATGTGAATACATCTACCTTCCTCTAGACTTTTATAGTTTATTGAAGATGAGGTCTGTGACTTACTCACTGTACCTTACACTGCCTGGCACATAGCAATTCTTAAAGTTCATTATTCTTAGATTTTGACATCAAGGTGAAATATTAACATGTAAATATATCCTGGTTTCTTGGGACATATATTCAAGCACGGTCAGTTGCCTTCATCTGGGTCTCCTGTTTTCTGCAGGGCTTTATTCCTTTCCTTTAATGCTCTTTTTCCGGGATCTCATTTCAATTAAAAAATGATTCAATAATAAAATCACAAAAAAGGTCAGCATTTTTGGGTAAGGTTTCTTTAAAGTATACTACAGCCATTAATTTTCCAGGTAGGAAGTGGGTGGTATAAATAGAGATGGTGAGGGAATAAAGGAAACTATACCTTTATATAATTATTTAAATTCTGAACTATTTTTTAAAAAAGTATTTTAAAGATTTCTTCTCCATTCTTATTGCCAAAAGCTAGGCCCTTTCTCTCTCCACTACTGTAGGATTTTAGCAATCTCCCAGTTAATCTCCTTGTCTAGGTAGCTCCTTTTAGCCATTCTGGACACTCTTGCCCTATACATCTTTGTAAGACTTTTATAATTTTTCCAGTCAATGTTCTAGTCCAGAACTTGTTAGCTTCCTCAGCCTAAATTCTGCATCCCACACATTTAAGTCCCCGCTTACTTTAGCTCCTATCTTCTATATCATTGCTTAATGCTGGTTTTTGCTTGGGGCACAGGTCCTCTTTCCTTTGTTTCAGAACAGATCAGGCTTTGCCTGTATTCTTACTCCTCCCTTGAAGTGTTCACATTCTACCCATTCTTCAAGTCCAAAAGGAATGCCACTTCCTCCTTGAAGATTTTCCTGGCAGCTCCAAGTCACATTCATAGCTCACAAATAATTATTCTCATGTGCTGTACTTGGGACAAGATAGTGGAATCCTCCACTCTTTTCTCTTAATTTGACCTATTAACAGGAGACCTGGGAACACTTACCTGCTACAATGGGACATGTACCTATAGATATCTGAGGTGCAAATCTGTAATTTCCAAAATACTAGTTCTTCAAGCATATGTAGCAGCTTCTCTGATTGCTTAAAGGAACACGACTCAAATACTATCATGTAAGACTCATTTTCGTTTAAAATATGAAAAAGTGATAGTACAGTGGGTGTACGGGGCATGGGTTTACTTATCTCACAAACCAATGGATTCATTTCTTGATTTAAAAAAAAGCTATATTCACATTTCCAATTAATTACATCCTAAATGTCTCCAAGCCCGTCCCATAAGCAGGCATATTTTGTTTTCAACGCGTGTGAAATAAAACGTTTGAAGGTAATAATAATGGACATATTGGAGACTACAAGGCAGAGAAAGAACTCAAAAGCACACTCGAGGAGCTGCTTCTACTGGGGACGCCACTGGGCCTGATTCACGCTTTTGGGAGCCGCAGTGCTCTCTCTCATCTGTACAATGGAGAGGATACTCGACAATATTTACCTCCCAGGGTGGTGGTGAAAGTTTTCCTTTCTGGTGAACTGCCGGGCGGTTTGCCTACCGAATGGAGGCGCTTTTCTTCCCCCGACGCACTTCCGTGCGCGAGGAGGGATGACCAGCCGAGAGGAGGGGAAGCTCGTGGCGAAGGTCGCCTGGGCCGCAGCTTTGACGGGCGGCGTCGGGGCCTTCAGCTGGAGCACGTCAAATGTGTACACACCGTGCAAAACACGCTGAGCGTGCGTGCACCCGTGTGCGCAGGGTGCTGGGAGTGCGCTCGGATTGACAGCAAAGCGTGAAGGCGCAGGGCGTACGACAGAAAAGCGACAGCCGACGAGGCCGAAGGAGTCCGAGGCCCCGGTAGCGGCGACGACGCGTCCGGTCGCCCGGCGCCCCGGCTAGGCGCCCCAGCGCTGTGGGCCGACTGGTCTCCGCAGCGCCCCACGTGGCGGCCGGCAGGGTCGAGCGGGGAAAGCATATTTGCTCCGCCTCCGCCGCGCACGGTTGCCCTCCGCAGTTTCCCCGCCCGGCTCTCACCCGACCCTCCACCCATCCCCCTCCCGGATCGCGATGGACGCTGCATCCCCCAGCCGCCGCCGCCGGCAGCACCACGCGGGGCTCTGAGCAGCTGCAGCAGGGCCTGAGGAGACGCGTGCCGAAGACGGGACGTGAGCTGGCGGCCGCCGGTCTGGGGAACCTCTCGCTTCCCTGTCACCAGGTCCTGGCGGAGGAAGGGGAGGGACGAGACGCGGCTTTTCCTGTGCCGCCTGCCCGGCTCGACCTGCGCGGCCTGCAGCTTCCTGGGAACTCGAGGGCCGCGGCCGGGCCTTGCTCTGCCCGCGGCCTGCTTGGAGCTGGACCGGGGCGGTTTGGGACGACAGGCCCGGGTAAGAGCTTGAGGGAAGGGGAGGCGGGAGCGCCTTGGGCGGTCGGAAAGGCCAGGCGTGGTGCAGGCATCTGGGATGCACGGCCGCGGGCCGGGAGCGAGACCCCGGACCCTGGTGAGGTCGGCGGGGCTGCCGCCGACTCACCCGCTTAGCCCCTTTGTTCCTCTCCTCCGGCCCTGCCCGCGTAGGGACCCGGCTTCTCCGAGCTGGAGCTCATGGCTGGCCCCCCTTGTCCTTGAGAAGGGTTCGCCGCCCGGCGGGGCCAGGGACGTCCCGCCGGGCCTCGGAGTTAACGGGCGCCGCTCCCGGGAGACCCATCGCCCTGCCCGCCCCGGCGGCCTCCTCTCAGGCAGAGAGGCTTGCTGCTCCTCCTCCCAAACTTCCCCTCCTCCTCGACACAGGTACCTAACTTAGCCGGGTTTGGTGCCGGAAAACCAGAGCGCGGTGCCTGCGCCGCCCGGTGCGGAGTCGGCTGGGCCCGGAGTGTTGGGTCATCCCTGCAGATCGCCGCCTTTGGGTGCCCAGCGGGACCTGCCGCTGGATTTATACACCTGCAGCTGGGTTACGTGGGACCCAAAGCTGTCCTTCCGTCAGGGCGCTTACGAGCTTTTGTAATGCTTATTGGGGCTGCTTCTCCGATGTTGTTGCTGCTGTCGTTGTTGTTTTTAACTAACTGCCCCATTCTGTGGGGCTGGGGAAGGAGGACCGTAGACTGGCCTATGTTCTGATCCGTAACGTGTTAGTCCATTGCACTTACTTTTAGCATCTCTTTTTAAACTTTTAAGAACAGTTGTCAAGACTGCCAAAATTCCCAAGTCTTTATTCATAGATAGATCTTGTATCTAATTATCATTTGTATTTGGACATCTTAAGAAGAGCAGTAAATAAATTGAGAAGTCAGTAGAATTTATGAAATTGGAGGTAATTTTAAAGTAGAAACTTAATTGGGGGGGGAATTGGATCAAAGTGCTTAGTCTCCTTAAAATACTAAATCTAACCCTTATCAGAAGATCAGTTTTGGGTGGAGGAAGGGGAAAGAAGTTTGCTGGAAAAAAAAAAAAAAAGAACCTTTTTAGTAAGGTGTTGTTTGCTTTTTGGCGCAGACGTTAGTGATAAGCAGTAGTGGGATCCGAAGCTTGTTTGATTGTCTTTGACAAAGACGTCTCTGGTTTCCAGTTAAGCAGCAACCTAATCAGCTTATACTCTTGTGCAAAACTGGTTTTTATTTAGTACAATGTATGAAGTTAAACCCGAGGAATAAGGAAAGTTGAAAAACTGCATTAAGCGCGCTATTGAAACATACTTATGAGTCTTTTCTAATTCCTAGGAGGACACCACAAAAATTTGGCTCTAGCCGATGTAAAAGAAAAAAATTTTAAACCCACGCTGATCAGTCCTGGACATTTAGAGGACTTTTTGCCTTTACTTTTTAAATTTGAGCAAAGAAGCTTTTAAAAACAACATGGCAGACGTGGATCCAGATACATTGCTGGAATGGCTACAGATGGGACAGGGAGATGAAAGGGACATGCAACTAATAGCCCTTGAACAGCTATGCATGCTGCTTTTGATGTCTGACAACGTGGATCGTTGTTTTGAAACGTAAGTACATCCCTTCATCATCTTCCTTTGGGGTTGCTGTAGGGACATCTACATAACATGTTTTCAACCATTTGCTGATTTCAGTTTGTGTAGAATTTTGTTTAGTGAGTTTTAAAACTATCTTTTAAAAAGTTCTTGCAGTTTTCCATTTACACTTTCCTGAGAAATAAAAATTGGTAGGTGAACTAACTCTAGTAATGATAATTGTGATGACACAAATGCATGTTTATTGGATGAATAGGAATTAGGGAATACTGATTTTAACCCATAGCTTGATTGATTCAATTTCAAAACATGTTATGAGCTGGGAGAATACAAATACTTCTTTAAAGGTGGCTATTTCTGTATCAAGTAATTGGCTTAAATTGACATGAAAATGCAGATGATAATGAACATTTGTTCCCAATTGCCCTTTCTTCATTGGTGTTAAGTCTTAGGACACTGTACCTTTTTTTTGGGTGGGGGGGGGCAGTGCGACATGGCTTGTGGGATCTTAGATCCCCCCCAGGGACTGAACCCAGGCTACTGCAGTGAAAGTGCTGAGTCCTAACCACTGGACCTTCAGGGAATTCCCTGTACTTTGTTAAGCAAATCATTGCTTTGTAAATTTCAGTTTGGAGAGGGTATAAATTGGATGTTAACCATATAGCATACTTTCCGGAATAATAGAAACAGACTCTGATGTTTGGAGCGTTTAAGCAGTTTTATTCAGAGGTTGTGTAGAATTTGTGCAAAAATGCAAAGGAATCAGTACTAGACTGGCCATTAATGCCATGTTTTTCCTCTTATGTGATACTTACCCAGTTAGATTAACTGTTCTTCTGAATGCTGAACACGTTTGGTTTTCATTGTTTATTTTACATTTATATTTACAATTTTGAATTCCGGTGATAAGTAAATGAAAACTCAGATGCTTCTATATTTGTTCTAATGCCGTTTTGAAGTAATTAGTAGAAAATGTTTGAGATGTTGACATAAAATTTGGTATAATTATCTTAATTTCTTTGAGGTGAGAATAAAGGCTGAATTACTAAATTGACAAAGCATTTTTAATCATCTTCATTTTTGAATGATTAATGAAGATGAATTAATAAATAGTTAATAATTCTTAGTTGTAAATCCCATTGAGACAGTACTATTATGATAAAAATCCTTATGAACAAAGTTCCCAAATCACAGTCTGTTAGTGACTCCTTTATTTCAAGTAGTTATTGTTATTGGCAAACTTTGAGAACATAATATTTATTTTGCTGCTCTGTTAACGCTTGTTTTGGTCAGATTCATAGAAAAGTGAAATAGGTTTTTGAACATTCATAGATTTCATTAGAGGGTTTTCATTGACCTGAGAATTATTTTTGGTATTTTAAAAAGTAAGTCATACCTACCAGTCAAATCAACTATCATGTCTTCCATTAAGTAGTAACATATAGTAGAGGTGTTTGTAATGGCATTTTTTAGAAGTGTTATTATATTGAAACAATTTTAAAGGAAATTTTAATTTATTTAAAAAATTTTTTACTTTATAAATTTATTTATTTTTGACTGCGTCGGGTCTTCGTTGCTGTGCATGGGCTTTCTCAGGTTGCGGCGAGCGGGGGCTACTCTTCATTGCATGGAGGTACCATGGATGATTCAGGTTACAATGGATGATGATGCCGTTCAGTGAGAGAGAACACTGGAAGAGGACCATGTTTTTGTTTTTTGGGTTTTTTTGGCCATGCCTCATGGCTTCTGGGATCTTAGTTCCCCAACCAGGGATTGAACCTGGGCCCCTGAAGTGAAAGCGCCAAGTCCTAACCACTGGACTGCCAAGGAACTCCCATGTTTTGAGGGGCTGAGATCATGAGTGTGGTTGTGGCTAGATTCTCATATCTGCTTTGCATTTATTGTGTTGCATTATGTTGTTTTGACTGAAATATATGAAAAAAAAACTCATCCCCCCCATAGATGTAGCTGGAAAAGGGAGGAATGTTGTAATGATTTTTTGTGTGTAATTATGGATATTCATCTTTGATATCATACGAAACTGAGGGGGGGAGTGTAGTTTCTTTTTTTTTTTAATTAATTTTTATTGGAGTATAGTTGCTTTACAATGTTGTGTTAGTTTCTGCTGTACAGCAGAGTGAGTCAGCTATACGTCCACTCCTTTTTGGATTTCCTTCCCATTTGGGTCACCACAGAGCATTGAGTAGAGTTCCCTGTGCTCTACAGTAGTTTCTCATTAGCTATCTATTTTATGCATAGTAGTGTATAGGCAAGTGATAGTTTCTGAAGGGTTAGTTATAATGTGGGTTCTGAAATATCAGTGAACTTGTCATACTCTTGTACATTAAAATCTGTTGGTCTCTCTGGTACTTTGAATGGGTTGGTTTTTTAAAAAATATTTATTCTTTTGGCTGTGCCAGGTCTTAGTTGTGGCACGCAGGATCTTTAGTTGCGGCATGTGGGATCTAGTTCCCTGACCAGGGATTGAACCCAGGCCCCCTGCATTGGGAGCACGGAGCCTTAGCCACTGGACTACCAGGGAGGTCCCTGAGTGGGTTTTTTTAAACCCATGTTTAAGTTTGAAAGATCATGCACTGGTCATGTGAAAAGTATTGGTCTACTGAGTTATACAGATATTCCTAATGTTGCCATATGTCATCCTACAGTATCACAAACTCACATTTGTTATTGCGACTACTAATCTCATCAGAAAGGTCTTTAAATATTGAGAAGCTCTGTCAAGCTCCTGGTGGCAGGTACAAGTTGTGATTTTTGCTTGAAAGCTTGAATGTTATCATTGGCAACAAATACTGTCAGTTGTTTTTCCTTGAAGTGAAAGGCTTACTTGGTTAATTTTTGAGAAAATGTTTGCCAGATATCCAAGTCTGAATAACCACAATTTGCTTGAAGTTCTTTCAAGTAAAAATGATGTTGCATGAAAAAAAGTGGCTAGTTCAGCTCTCCAACAGTTGTACAAGTACTCTTCCTGTGCAGAAGTGCTTTATGCTTACTTTCCATTTCCTTAAGTAGGATATTAAAAAGATATGTATTCAAGGGTTGAGGTTTAGTAAAATAAATAATTTT